CACTCATATCTGTCGCACTGCCTCTCCTGCTATTTCCCACCATGATGGCTTCACTCATCTAAGCAGGACCTTCTGCAGGTACCACCCTGAAATGGGTGAGAACAACAGCTGCCTGTACTTTCTCTGCTGTGGAACTGCCTGCCTGAGAAGGTCAGGAAGGCTTCCAAACTTCTGGCATTCTGCAACTATATAAAACAGAATTTTCAAGAGGATATTTTTATAAAGACTTTCTTTAGTGCATAGCTATGTTTGAATCGGGCCTTACCAGAGTCATCCAGAACAAGTTGCTCATCCCTTTAAATCCCCAGCCAATGTTCATCTGAGCAGGAGCTGGATGAGGGACAAGTGAACTGCCCACCAAAGAAGGTGGCAGAAGTTTAGGTAGGACCAGGTCCCAGGGCAGGACCTCGGGGGAAAGCATGAAATTGGGCAATTACGGCCGTGTCACAAAGGCACCATAGGAAGACTGATGGAAGGACATGTTCAAAGGTCTGGGAGGGAAGGCAAGTAAGAAGGTCTTGGTACCTCTCCTCAGCATGGTGAGGGTCATTTTGGGGCTGGGTGTATGAAATGGGGCTCCCTGAAGAAGGTTTCCTGAGGTTTCACACCACTTCAGGGAAGCCAGCACTTGTGCAGGGAATACGAATCGTTGAGATTGGGGCTGCCATTGTGGATGGAACCTCTTGAGGAACCACAGCTGAAGTGGTCTCATTTGTAGTCTGGCGAAGACAAGTACCACTGTGGTGGTGACCATCAGCCCTAGGAGTCGTTGGATCTGTTTTCCTGACGCATCTCCCTGTTTCTTCACTAGGTCGATGAGAGCAATGATGTCATCCGCCCTCATGGGAGGAAGAAAAGCTCAGCAGACCTTTGAGTCCAAATCGCCCCGATGAATTGGACTCTTAACGAGGGGAAAGAGCATTGACTTTTTTAGGTTCACCCTCAGGCCCAGGACATCTAGGGTAACCAACATCAAATCGATATGGTTGAGCAGAGTCTTTCTGGAGTATGCTACCAGCAACCAATCGTCGATGTACGGGAAGATCCGCACACCCTGGAGACGGAGGTAGGCCGCGATGACAATCATCATTTTTGTGAAGACTCTGGGCACTGTTGAGAGCCCAAAGGGGAGGGCTTTGTATCAAAAATGGCCGCCCCCAACCACAAAACACAAAAACCCTCTGTGTGATGGGTGGATAGTGATATGGAAATATGCATCTTGCAAGTCTAGGGTTACCATCCAGACGTCTTTGCCAAATTTTAGGAGAATACTTTGCAAGGTTGTCATGTGGAATTTCTGATAAGAAATAAAACGGTTGAATCCCCTGAGGTCCATAATAGGACGGAGGCCTCCGTCCTTCTTGAGGACAGTAAAATAACGGGAATAAAACCTGTGGTGATGTTGCATCATTGGGACTGGTTCTATAGCATCCCTTTGAAGGAGGTTTGGAATTTCTTCCAGGAGCATGCTGGATGGTGGCATACGAAGAGGCCACGAAGAAGATCAATTAAAATCAATAGGCATTAACAAATTCCAACACTTGTTGCTAATTACTCTGTGAACCAACATCTGGTTGAAGCAGCATTATTTGAAGGAGCATGACCAGGACTCACCATCACATTCTGAGGAATTTATTTTCTCTTTTTAAACATTTTAAAATTTTTGTATAACATCCAGACTGATTAAGGGTTCCTAGTGAACCTCAGAGCTTTCACACTGTTGTGGGTCATTTGGTTGGTCCCAATAAAAGGTAGTATGGAAACTGTGCTCCAATTTTTATTTATTTTCTGTTTTACTTGGAGACCCACATAGCTGCTAACAATTTCTTTCAGAAAATGGGCAGAGCAGTTAGCCAACTCTTCTAGGGGTGTCTGAAAGCCAATGGCACATCTAGTCCAACACTCCGTATCACAGTGGCCAAAAACACCAGGTGCCATCAGTAGGTCCATCAGTGGGGCCAGGACACCAGAAACCTTCCCACCGTTGCCCCCCCCAGCACCAAGAATACAGCGCATCACCTGCCCCAGCCTGTGAGTTCCTATCTATACCTTGTGGCTAATAGCCACCGATGGACCTCTGCTTCATATGTTTATTCAGTTCCCTCTTGAAGCTGTCCATGCCTGTAGCTGCCGCCACCTCCTGTGGCAGTGAATTCCATGTGTTAATCACTCTTTGGGTGAAGAAGTACTTCCTTTTATCTGTTCTAACCCGACCACTCAGCAATTTCATGGAGTGCCCACGAGTTCTTGTATTGTGAGAAAGGGAGAAAAGTACTTCTTTCTCGACCTGCTCTACCCCATGCATAATCTTATAAACCTTGATCATGTCACCCCTCAGCCATCGTTTCTCCAAGCTAAAGAGCCCCAAGCGCTTTAACCTTTCTTCATAGGGAAAGTGTTCCAACCGTTTTATCATTCTAGTTGCCCTTTTCTGCAATTTTTCCAATGCTATAATATCCTTTTTGAGGTGTGGTGACCAGAACTGTACACAGTACTCCAAATGAGGATGTACCATCAATTTATACAGGGGCATTATGATACTGG